GCCCTAACGTCATCACGCAGGCAGCCAATTGCTACCCAGGCAGCGTCCAGGTGTCAGATTGGAGGAAAGGAAGAGCCAGTGACCAAAACGGGCGGAGCCAACTGAAGGCTGTTCCTACCCCAGAGATGGCTGCACAGCAAGGAGGCGCCGGGCACGGGCTGCGGGTTGGGAGTGCGGGGCGCCAGCAGGGCTGGGGGCTCAGCTCGGGGCTCTCCCTGCTGCCCCCCAGAAACCCCCCGGGGGGGACAGCCTATCCCACAATCCTCTTCTCCCCCACCCCCATAGACACATCCTTGAGCGGGAAGCGGGGGTACTGCCGGGCAGGGCCGGAGCCGGCCCGTCTGGCATCGATCGGCGGCTTTTAAGTGCGAGGTCCCGGGGGCACAAGGCTCCCGTCTCCCCCTCCCCGGACGCCTCTCTGAGCGGGGGGCTGGGGTGAGAGAGGACGGGAGCCCGGACTGGGTTCCTTCCAGTTCCTGGAGGCCCTGCCCACTCCAGGGGTTAATTACCGTCCATCACGACTGTTAATTACCGCATGCCCCAGAATCATTAGGGAGCGGGCTTAAGTAGAGCCATAGCGGGGGGTCATGAATATTCAAGACAACAACGAACCAAGAAGTTTCTAATAGGCTGGAGGGGCCGGTTGGTCCCTCGGCGGGAGGTGATGGGCGTTAATGAGCCTCGTGAATATTCATGAGGGCCGGAATGTAGCCAGTTCCCTCCGCCCTGTGGCGCTTAATTAGGACCGACAATGATTGGCCTCATCATTATTATTCATGTCATTAACCGGCCTTCGCGGTAATTATTACCCGCCTTCAGCTCATTCCCGCCCTTTATTCAGTCATCATCTGCATAATTAAATCGGGGAATCCATTGTTATTCATTAACACAATTAGCATTTATGCTAATTAAGCGCAGCGATGATTAATCGGGGAGAAGCAGGTAATGACCAGGACCGGGATCAATATTATTTCCGGGGATAGGGGATTAATATTGATCCCGGTCCCGGTCATTACCTACCCCCCCCCCAATTAATTATTCCAATTATTGGCCACCTCATCGGGCCTCCTAATTAGTGGCACCTTCATTAATGCACTCGGACGATCATTATGCAATTACCCCGTTACTGAAGTGATTGCATAATGGCCCATAATTGCAATTAAAGCCGGGGCATAATTGTGACATCAAGGCACCGGCAATTAAGCCTTAATTAGGCCCTAATTACCACAAGGGTCTAATTAGCGCCTTCTCCTCTTGCTGCCATTCCTGGCCTCCTCCACGTCGTTAATTATCATTATTAGTTCGATATTATGCGACCTAATTATTAGCCTATCAGTCTCCTTCCCCTCCGCCCTTATTATTAGCGTAATTAGTGCTCTTCACCCTAATTAGTCGCATCCTCGAGATGAGGCGGCTCCGTTGATTATTCTAATAAGCAGCGCTATGACGCTTCCCATTGGCTGTTCCCAATTATGATGATTACATATGCATTAGGCGAGGTGCTCCCTCTCCTATATGGCTCCTGGGTTCCTTCCCTGGCCCCTGGAGGGCAATGAGTTGCAGTGGTTAGAGCTGGGGAAAGCTGTGTGCAGTGCCCCCAAGGTGCCGAAAGGGGAAAGGGTCCAGTTACTCAACTCCCTCCGTTTTACCTCATTGATTATGCAGCCACTCCTTGCCATAGTAGCAATGACCTGCTTCATATGCAAAAACTCCCCCTCCCCATTCCCAGGCCCGTCATTTCCCGCCAGTGCAAAACAGCTTCTCCCAGTATAAACCAGTCAGCAGCACTGGAGGCCTCGGGGGCAGAAAAGCCCCCTAACTATTGGAAAATGACCTGATCCTGGCCCCAGGTCAGCACTAATGATCAATCATTAATTGCTAAGAATAATTAGCAAAGGAGGCATGACCCATCACTGACGTAATTAACACCCTATCAACACCCGTAATTAATCACTAGCCGTAGGCAGTGAATTTGCCGCCCCTCCCTCCGTGCTGCCCCCTGGTGGCCATATTTAGCGTGCCCTAATTAATTAATTAATTTACTCAGTGGGCGCTTGGATCTCCTGGGCACTATAAATAGTTAATATACGCTAATTATGCTCATTACCATAACCTGGGACCCCAGGCAGCCAGCAGGTCATGCCCCGAGTTTGCCAGTTGTCCGATCTCCTGGGTCCCCGCCCACTGCCTCATCCACCCCCATGACCCTCCTTGGGGAGCCCGGACTCTGGGCGGGGAGTTGGGGGCTGGTGAGTTACAGCCCCGGACGCCTGGGGTCCCTTCCCCAGTTCAGGCCGGTGAGTGAGAGCAGAGGGGCTAGGAAGAGACAGGACACCTGGGTTCTCTCCAGCTGTGGGCGGGGAGTGGGGGCTGGCGGGTGGAGCTCGGGGTTCTCTCTTCAGCCTGCCCGGTTCTTTTATTCCCGCTCCTCAACGCCTGCATGCAGCAGCGCTGCCCCTTTAAGAGTCTGCGCCCCCACGGGGCACCATGCCCCCTGCCCTGGCACTCCGGGGCCCGGCGCCTGCCAGCTGAGCCCTGATGCCTCATTTCCGTGGAAATGATTTTAGCCGCGGGGCTCCACACACAGCCCTCCCAGTGCCCCGGCACCAGCGGTGCTCCCCCCATCAGAGATGAGGCCTGGCCAACTTGCGCCCCCAATCCTGCCCTTTGCACAAAGAACCCCACCCCCAGCTCGCAGAGAGCCCAGGAGTCCGGGTGCCCAGCTGCCAGCGATGAAGGGGGGTCAGATCCCTTGAAGGGCGGGGCTAATCTGGCGAGGGTGACGTCAGGGCCGCCGTGGGCAGAGTTAAAGTGGGGGGCAACAGATACCAGTGCCCTTCACTCCCGAACTGCAGCTGCCCCCAATCCTGCTGCTGCCCCTTACTCCCGACCCGCAGCAGTTGCTCTGCGGCTGGAAGTAGGCTAGTTACCAGCAGGGAGTGTTTGGGGGGGGCGCCAAACCGGCTGGGCGGAGTGAGGTGTAGCCCTGCCCCCTTCCCTGAGCCGGGAAAAACCCAGGAGTCCTGGCTCGCTGCTATTGCCACAGACTTTGCTCCCATCCGCAGCCGGGACAGGACGCGCCCTGCTGCTCCGGGAGCTCCCGCCTGCTGCTTGCGGGGGAGGGGGGTCTCTGTGGGGCTGCACCCGCCTACCTGTTTGTTCTCGGAGGACTCCTGGGGCCCGCGGTAGCCCGCGCCGCCCCCCCTAACCTGTTAC